CCCCAAAACCCCAAAACCCCGTAAAACTTAGATTTAGTTGAATTCTTGAGTAATCAAATAATCAGTGTGAAATATAATATTGGATATTATCAATTATTCCAAGTCCTAGAATATGCTTATCAATTTCCATACTTGGAGTTGTGTCTTGAGCTGTTTGTAGTAATTATTGTGTTTACTACATTCAAATCACCTATCTGTGCCTCTTCTAAATTTTCGTATTTATCATCAATGCCTAGAATCTCAAGTCTCTTTGTTTTCTTATAGCAGCAAAGTAAAATCATTGAAATGACAAGTAAAACAGATCCACTTATAATAAATGTGACTAAACCAGTTATTCTTCCATCTAAATTGCTGTATAAATCACCTAATAGATCCTAAGCCTACTATTTGCTTAACACTGTTTCTCTCTTATGATAGAAAAATGGCACTATAAACATATCTTAATCATCAATGAAATCAAACAATAGCTGGATTCTCATTATTTGCATATTAAACTAATTTCTGATTTTGCGAATCAATGTAAGGCCTGAGTATCTATCAACTGTAATATAAGAATCATCTTCTATTGGATCAGGAGTTACATTATCATAATCAACAGTTATAATTGAGGGTATATTTACTAATTAAGCACTATCTAGATTTAGAAAATTTCCTTTTGAGGCAAGCACTGGAGCATCATAAATGGATTACAGAGGTTAGGTGTTGTTGATTTAAATCCAAAATTTAATATTATCCTATATCAAGCGACCTGCCATCATAAAGTAATCAGCTACTTTGAATTTCATTGCCTAAATTCTCCCGTAATTTTGTTTATCTCTTCCCAAATATTGAAATTGAATAACTCTACATAGCAAAGGAGAGAATGCAGATAAGGTCTCATCCTCAGAGACATCTGGATGAAATTGGTAGGAATCTGTCCCATCAAGCTAGAATGCTAATTAAAAACGGATTAGTATCTTACATAAACTATTTGACTCCAAGGTCTTATTGCATTATTCTCGTCAAGATCCCAAATGGTGTCATAGCTTTTTCTTATAACAACTATATCATCATGATTTTGCCATCTCGCATACTTCTTAACCTCGAGATAATCTCCGTCTGCACCTGTGAAAAAAGCTACACTTCCACGAGAAGGAGCTTATCTTGGAGATTTGTAGCTCTGTTCAGTCGAATGAGTCTGATTTCCTCCCATATAAACTGGTATTTGATTGTATTAATAGAATAAGGGATCTATATAGCCCCCAATAGTTTCATTTGGAGTTCTCAATACATATAAGCCCTTGAGTCCTTCCTCTAAGGTTATGTAGCGAAGAAATTTCCTAAACTAATCTGTGTTAAAAGCGTTAGAATAGGTAGTCGTTTGCTGCGAAATTAATATATTTGCAATGATCTACTTGCAAAAGAGTCCATCTTTCTTCATTAATTAATTCACAGTCTTAAAATCCAGATTAAACTATTCCTAGCCTGATTTGTCTAGGTAGTAACCTAGTTCAGGAGCATATTTTAACTAAGTAAAGAACGGATATGTCAATGTATAAGATACATCAGTAGGCTGCATATACAGTGGGGGATACTTAAGAATCGACTGGTCAATCCATTGAGCGTAAGTGAGTTCTTTGACTGTGCAGCTTTTATTCTATTCATCTATTATGCTTACTGAACAATTGTTTTTATACTGCAGGTAAATAGGATTTGAAATGAGAAATGTCATATAACTCTTGAATCTAAACTTATCAGAATAGAGAATCTATTTAATCTAGTCATCGTTATAGCCGGTCAAGAAGACTAAATCTGCATAGTACTCAGGATCGTAAGAGAACCCATTGAAATAAATATTAATCCAAGCTTTGCAAGTTGTCAGTTAATCTTAGAAACTGAATGTCATAATCTTAAGCTTTCCTCCATGGCAGAGATCGAATGCGATTTCAGATGGGAATCCAAAGTTATTCACGTAATAAGTAGGACATCCCATACTATAGTCAAAAACCTGTCTAAACCTCTTAGAGAAAATGAGCACTGGTAGTTCTTATTCCATTCTTCTTATAGAGTACTTTATAGCTTTCGATCCAAGCTCAGCTAGTGTCCGTACTTACGGAGAAATTTAATCAAGATTGTATGTCAGTTATTGGCAATACTTTAACCATAAATAGATCAAGTAGGTTTGTCTATTATTATTGAGTTTTAATGTTTTTGTTACATCATTTAGAAAATTGAGGCCTAAGTATTCAAGGTCAGTTGTTGGGTTTTCAAATAAGTCCATTGTTTTAGATCCAGCTTGATTTAACTTCTTAAGAGTATCTATATTGAAAAGTGAGGTCTCATCAGGAGGATCACCGCTTGAAGTCAAGTTCAAGAGATATTCATAATTTTTACCCCCACTTTAACTTCTATCTTCAAATAGCTCTATGTCTTTGAATTCATCATATACTTTTTTGTTTTGTTCCTTGAGAATCGGTAAAAGATATTGGTTCTTAAAATATGCTAATTCTGGAAATCCAGTCACAGTCTCTGTTCTTTCAGTAGTAGAGTTAGTTCTATTATCTTTATCAAAGACATCTCTAGTTGTATGAGAATCAGCCCATTGCCAATATGCTACTGCTTAATCACCCTTGTTATCCGATGTTTATTAACTGTAAATTAATTGTTTTCCTTCATTCATATACTTGTTCCAATTTTATTGAGTCTCTTATATCTACTCTATTGAAAGGCCAAAATGATCTCTTAGTTCATTCTGTATCGAATAATATTCAACAGGCTCAGCATCATATGATAGAGACTCCCATCTTTGATAACTGGCAAGATATCTCAACCCCCATTCATGGTCCGAATATAAACTATCTAACTAAATCTATGATGCAGGATTATTTGGCATAAAGTTTCTATTGATACTGTCAATTGTAGTAACATATTTCTTCAAAATGTGATAATGAGCGAATTCCTTGACCAAATTTTTCCCTAAGCCCTCAAGCACCACCTAATACATAATCTATATTTACGAATTAACAAAGCTATGCAATACTTGCAAGGATAACTCCCAATCGAGTTGATTGACCTTAGTGTGCCAAATTATTTAGGCTGCATTGTTAAGTTATCGAATTCTAATATTAAAGTCATCTGTATTATCACCTGTTGCCACTTCATCAAAAACAGAATGAAAGTTTTGATTCATGTAGATGCCTTTATATGATTTAGATTGGCCAGGTACTGTAATATCTACATCCCAATTTTCAGGTTGGGTATAGTTCATGTGCTCACGATAGTAAAAGGGTCCATACATCATTAAATCGGGCATCTAACCATTAAAAATCACCTAAATAAATTGTAAATAATGCAATTATCAATTTAATATTACATCATCATAATTAAGGCATTCGTAGACATTGAAGATTTAATGAGTAGTAATGTTATTTTTGCCTGGCACACTCATCCAGTCCTCTTTATTTTCTTATCTTAGAATTCCGAATTCTCGTGACTTCTGACTCATTATGCTATCTTTTAGAAAGGGCCAGCCAATTCCAAAACCTATGAGAAATATACCTGCAAGAATTAACAAAGAAGCTGAAATGAGAAACTTTATGGATTTTTTCATTTCACTCAATTATTATTTTGCAATTAATCTTATAATATTTCTAGACTAAACTATGCCATCTGGGGTTTTGGGGTTTTGGGG